GTTCTGTTTATGTTGCGTATAGAGTATTGAGTATTAGTGAAACTAAACAAAATTAATGTTGTATGCTTTTATTGATATTGTCATTTTAAAGTAAGTTTTGAACAATTAAAAAATGTAATATATACGTAGCTAAACTTACTTTAAAATGAAAGCATATGACATTTCCTAAATAATATTTTTACCTTTAAGTTTGATGTTAGGTCAATTGAGTCCAATATTAAAGTTAACATTAACAACATAAAATGTGTTCTACTGAACGCAAATTTGCTATAATGTACGTTAGTAAAACAGCAACAACACACACATAATATGTATAACGTTATCTCTAAAGGAATAGGAAAATATGTCAATTGCATTTACACATTTCCTGCTGCAGAGTTATTAATTATTATAGATCTCAGGGAAGACGACATGGGGGGGACGGGTTTCTATCGCTTTCGAATAATTTTTACGGCATGGACTATGGACACAAAAAAAAAAAAAACAACATAACATAATATTTTAATATTATTTTTATTACTATTATTATTATTGTCGGTCCGTCCCCGCGACCCGTGCCCTCTGATCAAAGGACGGAGTTTTGCACACATGTCTCCGCTGTCCATGCCGAGCGCCGCGTACGCTCATTGGCCCTTCCAGTTTCCAAATTCTAGTATACAGGTTAGTGGTTAGGTATTCTACGCTGCGCTTGTTTCATCGCCCGGCGGCCGGCAGTCGTTTTCGTGTCATACCACCGGTTGCTGTTGTTTCGTTTTTTTCTGTTGCGTGTCCATCTTCACTTAAAAGGTATGTTATTATGTCATTTGATTTGTTTATTTTGTCTTAATAGGTACGTTATAGAAGACGCGTCGTTCGCATTAAACCGTTTTTTATGATTTTTGAGTACAGGTACATTATATTTTAAGTATAAAAGGCTCCGGCACACGAGACGCAATCTGCGTACTTGGCTGCTACCGCAAACCGCCGCGATTCGTGTGTTGAGCCTTTAACGAGTATATTTTTGAAGGTTTGAGATGACCGGTTTAATATTTTCACTTGAACTCTTAACTTTTTTTTTTTTAATTTAAGTAAATTTTATATTACTATTCTCTTCCTATTATATTTTTGTATAAGATAGTGTTGTGATTGTATGCGTGGTCAAAAGAGAAAATAAAAATTGCGCAGATTTACTTTAATATGTACTGTTACAATTAGCATTAATTTCTTTTAAGTCCGGTAAGTACATCTCTATTATTGATGTGCGTGCCGTAAGGGATATTAGTTTTTGCTAGAGGGCCGTGAAATAATTTCATAATAATACCGAAAATGGCTATTTTCTCATTTATTTTTAACTGGTTAATATTATGTTGAAGAAGCTAGTCATTTAAGACGATTACTATTTATTATTAAAACAATTTTTAAAATATAAAAAGTCATTAACTTATTCTTTAAAATTTAAAAAATAAAATTATTAGTAAATTTGAAAGTCTCGTATTTGGCAATGTCTTGCATGGTTTGTAAATAATTTTTAATTTCTCTATTGCCGTATCGGAGTGGTTCTCTGGGCGTTCTTATAATTGTTTAGTGTAAAAATGTGGTGAATATGATGTAAATATTAAAAGCTAGAGGAAAAAAATGCGTTTAATATGCACAAATAATTGAAATAAATACTCAAATATGCATTAAAAGTTTTTATTACTTAAAACAATTTTAATCATGTCGAACCTTTCAACATATTATAAGTTAATCATCAAAATATTGAAATATAAAAAAGAAACCATTATTTTTGTTTTCATAGCAACTAATTACAATATAGGTACTTTCCCATTTTTTGTGGGATCATGTGTCTTTTTTTCAGTAATGTAATTTTGTATGTATTAACTGATCGTTTGGCGTCCATAGACATAATTGGTACAAATTTCATACAAGAATTTATCACAGGTGTAAAATTTGGGTGTAGGACATTTTCTAATCTTCCGATTCAAACATGTTCATATAAATTATTGGTTTTAGATTTGTTAACATTTCTCAAAAGCATTTGGTTTTTTTTTTATTTATTTAAACTTGGTTTCAAAAAATCAGTATACAAGATGTATGAACATGTTATATTTGAAGTTATTTATTACACAGTACTCGTCGATTGCATACCTAACAATGGATTACGTTCCCATTAGTTGTAAATACATTAGTTTCTTTATTTTATATGTATATGTTTCAAATCATTGGCTAATAAAACATTCAATATTTTTACGTATTTCTAATATTTCGTTAAAATTTTAATTGTTATAAACAAGAATAAAAATGTTAATAAACAGTAAACGAAATTCGATATACTAATGTGTATAATACGTAAATCAATGCGAATTTTACTAGTATATCACGATTAACATTTCACATTTGTAGTGTAACCAATTAATGAATACTGAATTTTTACCTACTTTAAGAATTATATTTTTAATGTAAGTAATTTTATATCAAGTGACTTAGTCATTTTTTTTTTCGTCAATATTTAAAAATCCCAATTTACAAAATGAAAACACGAAATAATTTCATTAGTTATTAAGAATGTAAAAAAATATATACATTTTATGCACTTACGGAAAAATATCCCCGACTTTCCAAATATGCAATTAGGTAAATGATAAATAAAATTTAGTCTATGGACTCGATTAGATTTGAATCGCCGACATTATTTTAAACCTGCGTGTATAGGTGCATATACTTGGTATGAACGTTCAAATTGCTTAAAATTCCTGTCTTCAGTTATGATACATCTCATTCAGTCTAAAACTTCTTCAAATTTAATTTTTACTAAATTTTCTTGTTGCGTCTTGTGAATAATGTGATTGGTTTATCAACAACTACGTGGTCAATTTGACGCCGGTTCAATCGGGTTCAATTAATTGTAGGAAAAGTAAAGCACTGACAAGAAATTGTCTGCTGACTCTTTTGGTACATACTTTAAATGTACCTACACAATATTGTAAATGTATTAAAAATAAGACATACTGAATGTGACATATTAAAGTAGGTTAGGTGATAAACATAATCGATTGAACAACCGGGATATATATCGATTATTAATATTATCGATTATGGTAACAGGCCAATTTTTCACTGAAATTATAGTAACTTGAGGTACTTTTTTTTAATCTAACTTTTTTAGAACCCTAAGCCTATAATTCCGAACAATGTAAATAATTGAATGAATAATAATTTATAATGTTTTAATTATGGTACACTAAATTATTATTATCGATGTTGTATGGTGTACATTATTGTTTTATTGTGTTAGGACAAAGCTTTCTTAAATAAAACAAAACTCCCAACACTTCTTAATTTTTAAATATGAAAATATATTAGCATATATGTCGGGAACCCATGGCTTAGTATTATGGATACGTTATGTTTTGTTTTGTGTTAAATATTCCTCAAGTCGAATTCGAAATAATTTAATGATCGTCAAACTAGAAATTAACCAAGATAGACTGATTTACTGACGGTATCCATCCAGATTAAATCGAAATGTCGTTCACAACATACTTTTTGCATTTTAATTATAATATACGCACAATAAATGATGCGTTTTCATTTTAATATTTCTTATTATGTTTAATAATTTGTTAATTTTAAAGTTAGAATAAAAATAATATTTAAATAAAAAATAGGATTATGATTTATGGACAATTTTATTTCAATTGATTATTATGACTTTCTGATAACGACTAATAACAGTAATAACTAGGGCTGGGATTTATATGTAATAAAAAACTAAAAATATGTACATATATACATGTAATCAAAATTGCCAAAATATGTAGTATAAAATAAAAATTATGTACTAAGAAATAGTACAAAAAAGTATAGTTAAAAAATATGTTAAAGTTTTAAATAAAAATACAATTCTAAATAATTTTTGATCATAATTGAAATACAATAAATTTATGTTTATGTTTAATCAATTGTAAAGAAAACAATGACAAACCATATATTGTTTTAAATTTTCAAAATTAAATGTACGGCGATTTGGTCTTAACACTAATTTATTATTAAGTCTTTAGTTTATAAATTATAATTTATAACTCGAAATGTAAAGATGTTTTCACAACCATGTGAACACGAGAACTGATAGTCTGATAGGTATTGTTGTAAATTCGTAAATATATTTTGTCAAATAATTATTGAACATAAAATATAATCTAAGATCATTAAGGTATGGTTATCGAACAGAAACAGATAAACTAAAATCAAGTTATTAATATTTTTTTTTAACCTACTTATTTCCTATATGCATTATACACTTACAATTTGCCGAGTACCGTTATCGAAATATAAATGTAAAATATTACTAAACCACCAAAATTGTCAACATTTATGAAGTATGTAAAAAAAATCGAAAATTTTACAAAGTATGTAAAAATATGTATTTATGACGAAATATGTAAAAATATGTATAATAAAATGTGTTTTATTTTATTGCAAATCACGCGAAACTAATGTATCATTTGCAATAATTAATTTATCGTGTTTCACTAAAAATATGTATTTACATACAATTCCCAGCTCTAGTAATAACATTACTTTTCCGAGTCGTCAATGACTATCATTATATCAAGTTGGAAATTTTGAGCGATATCTAGAGTATAACAATTTATTGAATATTGATTACTAATAACTGGATTATAATAATAATTCGATTTTGCTTATCACTACTTACAATGTGTATGTTTTGTAAAAATGCCAGTTTGTGTTTTCTTATCATACGTAATAGCTATCTATAATTTATGTTCTTATCAGGGTTAGGATGTGTTTATTGTTTAAAAATTTGTTTAGAAATAAAATAAAATTGTATCGTAATTTTTTCTATGAAATATATGTTTTTTTGTAGATTTCCATATTTATAATCATGGTGTAAATAATATAAGAATGATATTACTTTATAATTTACATATATACCTTTTAAAATAAAAAATATTATAAATTAAAAAAAAATTTCAAAACAAAGTAAATATTTAATTAAAAAATGTTCAGATTAACCACACTATTTGTTTGCATATCCTGTGTATATAAGTTCCTAATTAAGTACTATAGGTAGAATTTACCATATGCTTGGACTTAATCTAGATGTTGCAAAGGTACTTGGTCAGTCGATTAGCATAGTTATATCAATACAAAATGTTGTTAGGTGATAGATTTTTGTGTTCACTCTGTATCAATGTTAAATTTTCATTTCTATTTTATGATGAAGAACGTGGCAATCTAGTACAAACTGAATAATGAACTGGTAAAAATTATGTAATATTTTTCATTATATAATATCTAACTTAATAACTCTTCTGTAGACATTTTGTTCGTAGATCTAAGTAAAATTGTTTTAATAAAATAACAATATTGCTTATCTTCAATTTCTAGTCTGAGTTTTCTCATATTGTAAAGCGTAAACTTGAACAGCTGACTATAGATTGCCTATCATAATTTATAAAACCTTAAATGTCTATTAGTGTTGCGCTAACTATTAAATTAAAATATCTGCTTTTTTTTTAGAATTGTATTTTAATATAGGTGATAATTTTGACCATACAATAACAATGTAACATAGGTCTTTGTATTCTCAACAATACACTTCAACAACACATGAAGTAATATCTTATTAATAATTATAATAAAAGAAATATTTAAAAAACAAGAGTAGGTAATACTAGGTAATATTAGTTAATTATGTAAATAAGCAAAGAAGTTATTAATAATGAAAAATATTACAATAATAGACATTAGGTAATATTAATTACAAATCTCTAATCATTTATTTTTCCAACTTCTTATCAATGTATAAAAAATTTAGAAGATATCATTTTTTTTTTTTTTACTTGAGCCATGAAATCAAAATATGAAGTTTTTTCAGAATGTAGTATATTTATTTAATGATATCATTAATTCACTTTTTGTTAAATCTACAGACAACAGTTTCTAATAAATGTAGCAGACTTGATATTTGTAAATTTGTCAATTATCTTGATATTAATTAATCTGCTTTTAACAAAGTGGTTCCAATACTTTCAATGACAAGTATTTATAATTGAATTTGTTGAATAATTTAGTATAGTTTTTAGAATAGATCTTAGTTTTTTTTTTCTTTGTATTTGTGATAGATACTGGTAATTTATTCTTAAATATGTTAAACTAGAGTTGTAAAACTGTTACTTATTCAAGTTAAAGTATTAATTTTTAATTCATTTTTTATAGACAATAACTCAGTACAACTCATATTAGATTTTTGAAGTAATTTATAGGTTTTTTTCAAACTCTGCAGTTTTATTGCTACATTAATATTAACATTTACTTGGTTTTTTAAATAAGTTTACTTAGAGATATCTGATTTGTCTTTCTTATTTAAAAAAGTTATTAGATTTGTTTTGGGCAATTATTACCAAAGAATATAAAGTAAGATATCAGTATAGGATTAAACTTAAAAATATTTTTGATAGACGACCTAATTGAGAACCACCCTGTATTTAACTGTAATTAACTTTAATCATCATTTTAATTGTGTACACAACAAATTATTTTAGTGTCCATTTTCAACTCATAAATGAAATCATTTTAAGCTTTTTTTTGAGTCTAAAATCATCATGTCTATTCTTAGCAATCCGATTTCAAGGTTCAAAAAAGTCCAAAAGATATACTTACGATCGAACAGCTTGAAATCATATGTAAATAATTATACAGATTCAAGCCTTGCTCATGTAGGTCTGTATAATACACATATTATAACATTTAGTTGATTTAACATATTTGATAGATAAATTTATCCTGTCTAATGCTAGTTACCACAGTTTTAATATAAACAATTGTTAAATGCCAATAGGAATTTATGTTTAAAATTTTTATGTTTTGAATTATTCTGTTAATAAATTTTTATATGCTAAGGATAGGATAACATACTACTATTTTTTTGTTTATCATTCCTTTATGTGTCCATCTAACTTCAAATGATCTATAGAGTACTGTATATATTTATATACTTATGGCTTATATTTTATTCTAAGTGAAACATGTAGAAATTCAAACCTATTATTTATTTTGGTAGAATTATTTTAAATGGATCAAATTAGACCTTCGAGGGGAAAAGCTCGGGGACGTCCTCAGATAGCATCAGATCAACAGGGTTCATCTGGACTTTCTCAAGGAATTAGAGGACCTAGACCAATACATTCTACACAATTTATTGGACCAAGACCAATCATATCACAGCCAACACCTACTCCACAATCATTCCCAACACCAAGGCCAGGTGCAGCTATGCAACGTCCACCTCGTCAGATGCCACCAAGAGCTGCTGGTGCCCCGCAGCAAAGGGCACCGCAGCAAAGGGCCCCTAGACCTTATGCACCAAGACCTGTAGTTTCTAGTGATATAAGTTCAGCTCCCAGACAAGACCTAATGGCAGGAGTAAATATTCTTTTGAAATTTCATATTACTAGCACACTTTTATATGCAATGTTTTTTAAAGGTGCAACAAGTTACAGAAGGACTTAAAACTTTAGATGGAGGTAATATATAATTTGTATACAAGTCTGTATTAAGTTTATTAGGGTAGTTTAAAATAAATGATAAAACTCTTAATTCTATTAATTAAATTTCATGTTTATTATTTTGATCATGTTAAACATTAGTTTACTGATTATTGTCGTTGATTTTATAGTTTAATAATTGTTCTAATTTAATTACTTTTATTTTTAATTTCATAGATCACCAATAATAATAATTTTTTACATTTCTAAAAAACTTTCTTAGGAGGAGGAGATACACCATTACCTTTAGGGCGAGGCGCAGTACGAGGAAGAAGACAAATTGATCTTGAACATTATAGGACACCAAGGCCTCAATCTTCATTAGGAGAGAAAGGAAAACAAGGTAAAGTAAAAATTAAATTACTTTTTTTTTAAAATAAATTATTAATATACTTTGATAATTAGGATCTTTAACTCGTCATTGGTATTGGTGTTCATCCCGCTAACATTAGACTTATATTAGGAACCTCTCTATTTAAATAAAGATAAATTGTTTTGAAACTCCATATACATCTTATCTTAATAATTTAACAAAAAAACAGTATGATAACATTTATTAGTAGATATTATGATCTGTTGCATCTATAATACCGTGATTATGTTAGCGTCCTTCTCGCACGATACTGACCGTGTTATTATTGTTTTCTTATTACTTTTATTCACAGAATTTGAAAAAATGTCTACATAGTTCAGTGAGGCTGAGAATGATCGCATATTTTTGTATTCTAAATAATGTTGAAAGTAGAACTAATGAGTATACATTTTTTCTTATCAAAAATTGTTTTTAATTTTACGTATGGACAATTTGTTATTAGCAATAAAATATTTGTAGGATATAACTACAAAATTATTTTTATTTTACTATTCTAAATTTGTTAAATAACAGAGAGTTTGTTACTTGCGTTTTTGCTGTATTATGTTATCTGTATATTTATACTATTTATATTTTAACAATGTATTTTATTCTTTTAATTTCTCTCAGGAACTACTGGGCAGCCAGTAAAATTGTTGGCTAATTATTTTCCAATCACTTCATATACAAATTGGTGTTTGTATCAATATAGAGTTGATTACAATCCTGAAGAAGATAGGATTAGCACTAAAAAAGGATTATTAGCTCAGCATCGAGAACGTTTAGGAGGATATTTATTTGATGGAACAATGTTATTTTCTGGAAGCCGATATGACCCACCGGTAAGTAGTTGTTAAAAGTATGATCTATCAAATTTTTTATATTATTTTGTTAATTATTTTTATCATAATATTAGATTATAAGAAAATAGGATAAAATTTAGTAATGGATTAATAATTAATTGATTAAAATATTGATGGTAAAAACTAAGTTATATTTATTTGTGAAATAATGGTTTATTAAATGTTGAATAATTGATTTAATAACACAGCATTAAAATATGTTATAAATAAATTTTAATATGTTTGTTTAGAATTTTGAACTCACATCTACACGTCGCTCAGATGATCAAAAAATTGTTATTACAGTGAAATTCACGAATGTAATAGAAACTGGTGATTATGCCAACATTCAAGTCTTCAATTTACTTTTGCGTAATTGTCTTCGACATCTAAACCTAACGTTGATAGGAAGAAACTTTTATGATTCAAAAGCCATAGTAAATTTTTATATTTCAAAAGTATTTATTCGTTATTTTTCTGACTTTTTATAATTGCTTTTAGATTGAATTACATCAACATAAGCTCCAACTTTGGCCAGGCTATGAAACAACAATTGGCAGATATGAAGATAATATTTTACTATGTGCAGAAATATCTACCAAAGTCATGCGCCAAGACACTGTATTGGATTTTTTAAATCAGTGTGCTACTGATAGAAATCGTGACAGAGATTGGATGGTGTGTTTGTAATGTTCTTAGTGGGATTTCAGTTTAACTAAATTTTGATAAATATTCATTGGACTACATATTTTATTTTTTAGATTAAATTTAAAAGCGGTATTGTTGGTACCACAGTTATGACAAAGTACAACAATGAAACATACAGAATAGATGACGTAGATGAAAATTCGGACCCAACTTCTGAATTTAGTAAAAAAGACGGATCCAAAATATCTTATATTCAATATTACAAAGAAGTACATAATATTCATATTAATATTTATCATTATAAACCTAAATTAATGTATTAATTACTTTACTAGAAATACAACTTAACGATTCGAGGTGGCAGGCAACCAATGTTGATTTCTAAAAATAAAAGATCCATAAGACAATTTGGAATTGAAGATACATTGGTGTATCTGGTTCCAGAATTATGCGTTATGACTGGTATAACTGATGCCATGAGGTAGTAAATTTAAAATAAATTTTATTGGATTTATATAAATTATCTCGCGTTTTAAATTATAGAAATAATTTCACACTCATGAAAGATATGGCTACATATACCCGCATAAATCCCAGAGAACGTACAGAAAGACTAACAAATTTTGCAAATCGTCTTCTCAATACACCTAAAGTAGGTTATTTTCATTCTATGTAGCTTATAGCTACATCAAAAATTTATTATTTTTAGAAATAATTTAATTTTATGCAAACATTTTTTAATTGAATTCAATTATTTTATTATTAAGTCTGTAGCTGAATTGAAAAACTGGAACCTGACATTAAGTAATAGGCTTGTTGAATTAACAGCTCGTACTTTACAACCAGAAACAATTCAAAGTCGTACTAATAAGTATAACGGCGGTAATGAAGCAGATTGGACTAAGTGTTTACGTGCTTTACCTATGTTCACGTCAGCAATTGTGAAGCACTGGGTTATTTTAGCTCCAAAAGAAAATTGTCGAGAAGTTGATACATTTGCTCAATCTCTTGCAAAGGCTGCTCAAGGAATGTCATTTATTCTACCTAGGCCTGCTATGTAAATATTTTTAATGTAAAAATTTTTTTAAAACTAACGATTTTAATTTGTATAGAGTCCCCATGAATGATGGGAGATCTAATAGTTTTTTAATGCATATTGAACAAGTACTTAATGAATCAAATCCAGCATTGATTTTATGTGTCATTCCATCGTCACGTGGTGATGTTTATAGTTTAATTAAACGAAAGTTATGTATCGATAGAGCAGGTATATTTCTGATATATATGTATACAATTGTTAATATATTTGTTTCTTTTTATCAAAGCATTTGTTTTCAGTACCATCTCAAGTAGTACTGGCGAAGAACGTACAAAAAAATAATATGTCAGTGTGTACAAAAATAGCTATTCAAATAAATTGCAAACTTGGAGGTGCTCCTTGGCTAGTTACTATACCTAAAAAAGTAATTATAGTTAATCTATTAATATTACGGAGGAGTATATATTTTATCTGTAATTACTTTAACTTAAACATTTTTAGGGAATGATGATAATTGGTTTTGACGTATGCCATGATAGTCAACGTAAAAATATCTCATTTGGAGCTTTAGTAGCTAATATGAATGATACTCATACGAGTTATTTCAGTTGTGTTGAACCTCATGAAAGTGGACAGGAACTTTCTGTTCATTTTGCTACGGGCGTAATAAGTGAGTGCTAGCGACAATTTTCATCTATCTTCATACATTAAATTTTTTTATATAAGTTGGTAGTAATTTAACTCAATTGTTCTTTTTAATATTCTAAATTATAGATTAGAGTATAATGAAAATTTTAAATTGTGAATAATAATTTTATGTGAATCTGATGTTAAAACAAAATAATTCTACTAATTGATATTATTTTTCAGAGGCTCTGGCCAAGTATAAAACTATAAATGGTACATTACCTTCTTGCATTGTTGTGTATAGAGATGGAGTTGGAGAAGGCCAAATATCACATGTTCATAAGACAGAAGTCAGACTATTACAAGTAGGTTTGTTTAAATTATTTATAATTTTCATTTAATTAATTTTTATTTTCTTAGACTGCTTGTGAACAAGTGTATGGGACAACAGCTGTTCCATTTGCGTTTATTATAGTCACTAAACGCATTAGTACTAGATTTTTTGCTCCTAGTAAAAGTGGTCCTGAAAATCCTCAACCTGGTACAGTTGTTGACACTGTTGTTACAGATCCAACCAAGTAAGCTATGCTTAAGCAATTTAACATTTTTACCTAAATGTATACTTTTTAAATTAAATTAAAGAAACTTGCAAAGTAATTTGTGTGGGTAATTCACTGTTTTACATTTATTACTTTGGTGTGTATACATTCATATTATAAACTCGATTAATTGTATTTTTTCTTATAAAAATTTTTATTTACCTTAAGTGAAGAAATAGGTGTGAAAGCAGCAATTTAATATTCTAATTTTAATTATGACATATTCAATGTTGTAAATTAAAGAAAAATTAAAAGTGAAGTAAGAAAAATATTTTTAAAGAGTAAAAATAATCAAAGATATTTAATTACACATTTTAAGCTTGTATAACTTCTAGTATTTTTTCAGGTACAAAAGTCGTACAATAAAATAACATTTCTATATTCTTTAATCAATTCCTACTCTTACAAACTAAATATTGATCTTAAAAATGTCTGTGTAAACCGAGCTCTTCTATACTCTTGTAGTTCTTAAAGTTTATTCGGAATGAGATCGTACCTCGGTGACTTATTTCTGTGCATGGGCGTGGCTTTGTTTCACAGCGCTAGCCTTATGAGCTTTCGTGGTGGGAAAAGCATCTGACCGTCGTAAACAAAAACTGGTCGCCGCCGAGGAACGATCTCATTCCGATTAGACTATAGTATGAAATTAAATAGTAAAATACTAAGAAAGTATCAAATTATGAAACAAAGCTACTGTCGAAAACTATAATAGTTTGTTTAATGACTAGGTTGATTATTAGTCAGGACAAAGCTATTTAGATATGGAAACAACGTTTATCATACTATAGTAGAAAAACAAAGAATTAAACATGGTGGTAATACTTATTTATCATAAATTGCAGATATGATTTCTTCTTAGTTTCACAACATGTAAGACAGGGTACTGTAACTCCTACACATTATAATGTAATTGAAGACACGCTTAAACTTCCTCCCGATATAATGCAAAGACTTACATTTAAGTTGACTCATATGTACTACAATTGGTCGGTTAGTATATTTTTGTATTCAATTTTTATTATTGTGCACAATTAATTTTTTTTCTTATTTAGGGTACTGTACGAGTTCCTGCTCCATGTCAATTCGCTCATAAGTTGGCATTCCTTACTGGTCAGTCTCTCCGTCGTGCTCCCAACACTGGATTGGATGAATTGTTATTCTTTTTGTAATTATTTACCTTGAGGAAATGGAATTCCGCTTATTAATTACTTCTTTATAGGAATTAATATTGAAACATTTATATTTTAATTAATCTTTTATATTGTTTTACGATAAAGTGTTAATTTTTTTTTAGCTAATTAATAGCTATTTTTCATGTCAATTGATATTATTAAGTTTTAATGTTTGACAATTATATTCTATTAAGAACATTTCAATAATTTCTATTGATACTATTTTTTATTATTGAATAAAGTATAATGTATATTATCATTTTAAATTTATTGTTTTACCTTCCTAGTTTGTTTTTATTGCACATTAAATCTAGTTATCAAATGAATAAATATTGCAGGTTTCGTGTTTGATTTTCTAACAATTTACAGATTATTAACACATAATTTATGTTGCACTCAGCTAATTTGCTTAGGTAAGAATAACATAGGATCGTAGAGTAGGATAATGTAAATCAATGATACAGTCAATCAGTTGAGTTCAGATCATGAAGGTAGGGACAATAGTCATTTCAATATTTTTAATCAACATTAACTAATTTGATTCACTATAAGTATATTAACCCTATGTCTTATAGATAAATCAACTCGTACTTTGCTACTCCTGTGATCTTCTATTTACTATAATAGTGTACAGTATAATATTCATATTTAATCATGTAATAAACCTTTAACACGTATCGTTTCTATTGTGTTTGTCTATGAACATGGATCACGAGTTCTGAGACCCGTAGAATATAACCTGTAAATGTTATTTAGATCGGTTTAAAAACTTGGTTTGTGTAGTGGAAATAGCTAACCAACTACTCCTGAATAAAATCAGATAAATATCGACGACCACAAAGGATAGATGTATTGCAAATTCACTTCTATTATATGAGTTAGCTTGTAAGAGACTGATTGCACCTTAGTATTGATGCTAAACCTAGATCTCTGAAAAGCAGATATTAACCAAACTACAGTGTGATCACTGTTTAAAATACCACTCAATTTCTCATTCGGATGACCTCTTATTAAAGCGAATATTTTAGAGTCTAGGGGGTTCTTAATTGGACAATTTTTGATGATTTTCAAAATGTTTACATTTTTGGTGTAGGCATTCCGAAAACAACTAAATTTTTTTAAATGGAAACACTATTTTTTATTGGCATTCGGATTGATTATTTTTTTTTAAACTTTTCTTATATGAAAAGCTTTTTTTTATTTACAAAACTGACCAAATTAGAGAAGTCAACATTTAAGTTAATGCGTAATTTGTGTTTAATGAAATCTTTACTTAAATTCATTGAAAATGATGTAATAATGTTAAATTTACCTTATCTGTATACAAATAATAATATCGTAAGTAATCTGTATGAATATCTCATGTATGTGATAATTTTTATTTAATTGACTGTGTTAATCAAGCCGACAACAACGTCTAAATTTTTGAGACAATTTGAATTATGTTTAGAACATAATAAAATAATAAATAGAATATTATGCATTTAATTTCTATCAAAACCACGTCTCTTTATTTTCTACATTGTATTATGCATATTAGTAATTTGTAATAAATTTTATATTGATTATAATTTATGTGATATGAAAATGTATTCATAGCTGATAAACAAATTGTTATTCTATATCATCTATTAACTACTGATAACATGTTACAAATGACAAATGATGTAAAATTGGACTGTATACTTATTTTTTATTAACAAAAGTGGTACTAATACCTTTATCAGACTGTCCAGTATAATAGTAAAAAATTTAAATGAAATCAATTCAGTAGTTTTCTTGGTTAGCGCGGTTGTAAAAAAACTACTTACAATTGTATATAGTATTAGAGATTTATAAATCACTACCCAACTTGTAAGTATTTAATTATATTTTAAAAATCATATTAGCACATAATGAAATAAACTGCGAGTTATAAAAAAAAAGTACAATATTTTAGAATTTACACATGAAACATTTAGATTTTCTAAGAGCAATTTATTTATTGTGAAAGATAGGTAAGTGAATGCTTAAAAAATACGTATTTTAAGTCTACTTAAATCCGAGAAATAGTTAAAAATTCTGTGTAATCACTAATTATTGCTATGAAAGTCTTCTGATTTTTTTTTTGGGGGAAAAAGCATTTATTTTTTATCTTACAAAAATTTAGTGGGTGACATATTATAATAATTGATAAATAAAAATGTTCAAAAATTATAATCAACTCTTCTCAAACATATATGGACTTATAGTATACGGCTTTGGGATTTTGCATTAACATTTTAACATAAACAAAATCTTAACTTCCCAAAACTTGGCTCATTGACGACTCTACAATGCACCATCCTACGTTTCAAACCTAACCATACACAACGATTTTTATATGAAAACTATTAATGGAGAAGCACAATTCTTTTACTCGTGCTTTCACGAGCGACTTCTATCCCATCAAAATCCTCTTATCAAAAACCTTTTTATTTAAACACTCCTAGGAAATCTTGATTCTTGAGCGCAGGATAAAAAGGAAGTGATGTCGAGACTTTCTATAATTATCAACTCAAATATAACTAAAAGTATATAAATACGAATTCAAACCTCACAACATTATATGTATATATATATATAATTAATTAGTTCGTTTAAGTAGCTAAGTATCATCAATGGTTGGTTTCTTATTCAACTTTTCACGTCCATGTGTTTTACTCTTACCACATTAACTGTGTAGATTGTTTATTTCTAATAAAAATAAAAACAATAATAATAATATTTAAACATTCTATCTTTCCGCGTAATTATACCAATGAACAATCCAATCATTCCATTTTAAAACCAGATCCCATGACTTGGTAAATAAAGTCTATTTGCCTATATTATGATGCAAATCAACTTTTCAATAAATTTATCTTTTAGAGGAATAATGTGAAACAGCAACATTTATCATTAGATAGTATGTTAACCACTTTTACGCATGTTTTATTTGAGATTTTTTTTTTTATTTTCTCGGTTCAATAATTAACAAACACATGAGTAATAAATTTGTCATTAAAACTATAAGCCGTTTAGAATATTACGGTAATATTATTACCGTCCAGACGATAATGACAGCGCTATCTACTGTCTTACTGTCGTTATTATTAACTTATCTGCACGCAACGCTGAAGACTGAGTCTCCGTAAGATAGCGTCGAACACGACTTACATTTTTTAGGTAAGTATTTTTAAGAATTAATAGGTATAAGCTTTTAATTTTTAAAAACATTTTGAATAATATGATAGAACAACACAATACATGTCTATACTATGTATTCTTATGCGAGCTATAATTATTGTTTATTCTTATTTTCTGTCAACAAAAAGCCACAATAGAGATACATATTGTTCATTGTTCACAAATATGCAATCATGTACAAGTAACAACAACGATATTATAATCCCATCTTATACAATTTTATTATTCGAAGGAAATAAATTGTTTATTTACGATATATGTTATATTTTTTTAAGCGTTAAAACGAATAAAGCTACAAAAAAACCTTATAATTACGATAGATGTTTTTATTTCTTCAATGCAAGTAAGTAATTGTTTTTGTGTTGTACACATTTTATATTTTATTCAAAAGTTCAATTAGATCATTAGATGTAGTTCTATCCGAAACCGTGATCTATACCGATTTTATCAAATAACATAATTGTTTTGATCCGATTTTCGAACTTGTCATTACACTATAGTGTATGACATTTTAACTATCTCATGACATCAATTATTGTTTATTTTATAATGATTTACATATTCGATAATACGATAAAAAATACAACTATTTTTTGGTGAACAATTTTCTAATTTTATTAATTTTTTTAACAACAGACATTTTTTGAAAAAATTCAAAACAAAAGGTATTAATTATTACAAACATTGGCCTTTTTTTTTTTTAAAGAAAAAACAAATACAAAATGTGGTTTCCCTTATAAATGGTTAACTGACAAGAGTGGTGAATGGGGAGGTGGCGACTTCCGATGACCTAAATGAGCTCTCTAAATTGGACTTATTATTCAGTTCGAATCATTTCCTGTGATTTCATCTATTCCGAGAAGTCCAGGACGTGTGATCAAGTCTTAATTGTTTTATTAAATAATACGATGTTCACCCTAACCATCCGATACTACAATGTTTGAATATATTAACTTAATCGGTATAAGCGTCACCTCACCGTATAATATGTGTTGAAATAATATAATATAACACGGTACGTAACAAATGTTTAAAATATTTCGAATTGCCTATATCTAGATAAACCACTACTATTCAAATAAACAGACATTCATAAAAATTAAGGATCTACTAAATACTAATAATATTAATTATTGAAATAGGAGTAAGAATGTAAGATATTATAGAAGAAATACATTGTAAATATGGCCAATTGCTAGTGATGTAGCTAAATTATTTGGATCTAGCTTCTATATGTTTATAATAGTAGGTAGTAAAAGTTTATGTCTTATAATTATTATATGATTTATTTATGGTTTGAATTTGGGTAAAAATGGGTTCAAAATACCGTTTTAAAATTTAAGTGATAGACTATAACTTTGAATTACAAATATAATATTAATTTTTTCCAACTTGATAAAATGTTTATTATCTACGTATTCTAATATCGTCTTACTTTGTGATTAACGTATAAAATGTCAATTCAATTTATTTGAAATTTTCCAAGTAGTTTTTGCAAATAATAAGTTAACTATTGCATTCTAGAATACAAATTATAAATTTGGTTCGTCTTCGCTGTGGTTTTTGCAAGGCATACATAGTAATTACCTATAACATACCTGAAATATAGATTTTATTTTATAGAATGTAATTATTTTTAATTACAATAATGACAAAATTAAGGAAGAATAAAACCATTGAATAAATAGAATGGAGCTCGTATTACTACTTTTTAGTTCTTACAACAATTTATTCAAACCTTCATAACATGGATCATGTAAGTTTTGCAGTATTGCAGTTATTATAATGTATGGTTGTTAATGATAAATCTGAACTAACATCAGAGATACATTATTACATCAAAAACATACTATTTTGTTTTTGTTTTTGAAAATTATCCAAAGTTTAATTTTATATTTACAATCATATCAATCCTAGGTCATAGTGCAAAAATATGTA